CGCTCTTACGACTTATACATTTATAATAATGAGAGAGGCAGATGGGAAAACAGGCAATCATACAAAAGAATTTATTTCAACAGTTGTGATAAAAATATTCAAATCTAAAAAAAAATAAAAAGAAAAAAGCATGTTATAAACATTTGGTAAGATAATACATTCATTTGAAGTCTCAGGTTAACAGGCTCCACTGCACCTCCCGCTTTCGGGTTGAGCTCTGCAAGGCTGCTTTCACCCCCGGCTGATGCCCTTTTTCAGTTTAAGGCCAGGCTTTCTCACTCTTCTCCATCTACAAGAACCCAAGAGGGGACCCAAACCTAAGCACAGCCCTTTAAGTGGTTATGGGGGGCATTCAGACAACTAAATTTTTAGGCATCCCGAGTACGTACAACTACGGTTCAAGTTAATGGAAGAGATGGGGATTTAAACCTCCCCTTAATTTCATGGCAGAGAGCAAAATTTTGCTTGCGTATTTAGGCACTTAACTTCCAGAGCACCTTCTGAATCAAGCGGTGCTGCTGAAAGGCATTTTCACCATCCTGACACTCTATGACCTTAGACGTATACAAGACAAACAAGGACTTTTATAAACACTAAACAGAAGCCCACATCTTTATCGAGTGTAAGCTATTCATATACAGAGTATGGAGTGTAGTTGAACATTGCAGTTCATTTTAACCTACTTCTAAAACCAGAGTAAACATGAAAAAAAAAAAAATCTTAGAGGCTATATTGAGGCCCTGCAGGTGGCCTGTCTCCACAAAAGGAGGATGCAGTTTAGGAATACTACCTGGGTTTGAATTTGAATGGAATTACACTGCTATAGCACCACACGAGAGCCGAAATAATTTAAAGTCTTAAATACAAACCTACCCTTTGATATACCAAAACCATCCCATCACTTTAAAGTGTAGTACTGCAGAACACATGTGTACATCAGTAATTTTAAAGTGGTTATAGGCCAACTCCAGAAAAAGTAGATCACAGCTCAAAAGTAGAGTAGAATACAGCATGGTACATTGTGTCAAGAAATGAGAACCTTCCCATGTTGAAAGAGTTTAAAATGCATGCGACTCCAAACAATTTGAAATGTAAACCACTCTGCTTTGAAGAGTAGGTATCTGCAGTGCGACATTTCCAAGAGTCCTTCCGTTACGGATACTTCCTTGCTACACGACTCCTCCTTGACTGACCCTACTGGGACAAAACATGCAAGCTTTGCTCCTTACCAGCATTATACAATAACATTTTCTTACGGCCCACATGATGCTGTCACAGCAGTTTACATTCCTTTTCCAGTACTCATGAGAATTTGTATTTAAAGTGCATCTCAAATCAGAAATCTCTAACTAATATACAAAAACAATACGCTAAGACTTGTGGAAGTATATTTGCTAACTCCAACCACGGCGATACTGAGTGCCTGTTGATTTACTGGTAGGACAGAGAACAAAGTTCAGACCATTAAGATGACTTCTTGCAAATAAGTGTAGCTACAGATTTGGCCAGATTGGGTTTAAGGTTGTGGGTTGGGGTTTTTTTGCAAATGGAGCTGCACACACATACATAGAGGGCAGAATTTATCCTACAGAGAAACATTTAATTTTTTAGATGAGTTTAAGCTTTTTGGTAAGTGAGCTTAAGCTTTTAGTTCAGAAGGTTATTTTTCAATACTTTTCCTAACCATCTTTCCCAATTCACCTGTCACAGAAACTTTAAGAAAAACAGATTTTTTAGTTTCTGTAGGAAGAAAATGTTTGTTCTCTAACTGCAGCTTAAATACCTGCAATTAAATGTGAAATCTTAAAGACGTAGGTTTAAAAACCAAACCTTTGCTGGTATGATACCACGATCTTTTGAGAAAAGCTCCTTAAAGAACACAAAAATCAAGCAGCTCCGGAGTCACCCAATTACAAAAAAATTACTCCTTAAAAAAACCCCACTAAATAGCATAGATTGTTTTCTCCGATTTTGCTAGTTAGCAGTTTGAAAACATTTTTTTTTTTTTTTTTAACCTTTATACGACATCGAAGTTCCAGTACCATTCGGATGAAAGGACAAAAGTCACTACGTTCACTGTGGTTGAAGAGAACGTGATCTTAAAGGCAAGAAGCAATTGTCACTGGAACTAGTACATGGTTCTTGCTGCTCTGACTGGAGCTCTGGGGGGAGAGGGGGTGCACCGGGGTCTCCGGGGCCTGGAAGGGTGGCTGAGAAAACAGCACTCTCTGCATTTCCCATCTCTACAATCGGTAAATTCATGGAATGAAGAGAGACAGCAGACACAAACGCAGCGGTGCTGTAGTCTTCTTCCGGATGATGTATCTGGGTAGATTCTTTGTCTTTTGTTTTATCAAAAAAATTAGATTCATCAGAATACGATCTAGAAAGATCATTTGTTCCTCCATACAGTGAGGTCATACAGGTGCTGCAGCTTAGACCTAAGACAAAAAACAAGAGACTGGGTTTAATTACCATAGGGTGCACTCTTAAAACCGTGCTCTGATTTAGTATCAGAAAGGTTGCCAAAGATCGATTGTATTTTTAACGGACTAACCTCTTCATCTCACCTGTGACATCCCAATATTCACGACAAATTAAAAAATACATGCGGGTTATCTAGGCTGACGTGAATGATTTTTCTGTATCAGCTACTATTTGACAAAGACGCACCGTAATTTAAGCTTCATTTTTAGGAAGTCGCTTTAGCCCTTTCACCTGTTTTTTGGTAAGAAAGGTTTTTCTGTGTTCTTCAAACTTTTAAAAGCTTCAGCTACATGGTTCCACTCCAAAGTGGACGGCATTTGAAGGCTGTTTTACCTGAAGCCAGAGAAAACGTCAGGCCTTTCACCTCCAGGGTTAAAATGTACTTCTTCCTTCTTTATTCCTCTTTTGATGGGTGTGGAAGGGGAAGTAAGGTTTTTGGTTTAGAAGGCTTATCCTTTCTTTATCTGCCTTAAAATATGAGTACGTACAGTTGCTTCAAGCTTTGTGTGTCAACAAAACCTCTCTACCTGTATGATAGAACACCTGCATACATTTATGGTGTCTAATTTTAAGTTTGGGCATTGAAGGCCCACAGGAGAATTCCCCTGAGGCTGCATTTGCTGGCTTGTCTTCTGCTGAGGTGCAAAGTTTAACAAAACCAGAGCATCCTGCCACTGCAGTAAATAGCTTCAAGAGAAACACAAGATGGAAGATAACCACCTATTTTGAGTTCTCAATTAGAACCTCACAGAAAGCAAAACTGAAATGTGAAGACAGACTTACCCATCGTAACAACACATGACAGGGTTTTTTGCAATTTGTCATTTATGATGCATTTCAAGAGTAAAAAGGCAAGGCCAGGATACATGCACTAGGATCTTAAACCCAAATGGGTGATATTTCTGAAAACATTGTTCCAAACACTAGAGGAAGGAAAAAAAACCAAAACAACCCAAACAACCCCCCCACCCCCCCAAAAACCCCAACCACCCACAAACCACCAACCTGTACTAAGAAAAATGATTTAAAGAATTGTTGGAGTTGTTTTATTTTGAAGATGTGCAAAATTAACGTCCTACAAAATATTATTAGAAACTTCTCACCTTTGAGAGCTTCAAGTTTTTCATTTTTGACTTTCAACACTACGTCAGTTATCTTTTGTAACAGGAAGTTTTGTGTTCTTTCTCGTCTGATAGATTCAACCAAAGCATCTAGTCCCTTTGGGTTTTCTGCTAAGTAGTCCAATAACTTCCCAGTTTTTTTTCTACTGGAAGATCGAGAAGAAATTTCTTCCGTGTCCTCTCTAGTGAGTATTTTCTTTGAACGCAGGTAATCAAAGTGTCTCTCAGCGATGATTTTATCACACAGGTAAGGACGCATCCTTTCTAAAGCCTGAAAAGCAAAACAAATTAGTATTAGCTAACCTTTCAATTTTTTTAGGAGCCTGTATTTGAAACCTATACGATTTTGATGTAGGTTAATAAAACGATTTTTAAAGCCACCACCATGTTACCTAGCAGAGATTTTTCTCAGTGTAAAAAAATACTTTTTTTTTTTTTTAAAAGCGCTGATTTACTTATCCCTTTTTTTAGTTTTCTTTGAGTGAACCCAGGAGTTTTAACGCATGTTAAGTAATAAGGTGAATACTTACTGAAAATGCTAGTTATGTCAAGTCTGTGGTTATCATGTTTCAGAATATTCAACAAGTAAAAATGAAATTATACCAACAAAACCCAACAGCACCTATTCACTTTTTCTACAGACACGCTCCTCCTCACTGACTACCCGACTGCCACATTTCCATACTATTTGTATCCACGAGGTACAACTGCAAAACATTGCAATCATTGATGTTTTCTGTACGTTGAGTAAAAGCAGTCTCAGAGCAACAGCATGAATATACTCCCTGTTTAAAAGGTGTGTTGAATAAACACCGCTATTTACAAATTCAACAGATTACTGGCATCCAAAATACATGCACTTTTATCCACAGATGGACCTACTCTCAGCAACTTTGCTGGCTGCTTTTTATCTTCATCAGGCTGCCTTCTTTTGGCTTAAGACTGTATATTAAACACCTCAAGCTACTTGCAACACCTCTAACATGCTGCACAGACCACTGAGTGTTAGTGCAGCTCTGATGACTCTGGCAAAAGCAAAATGACTCGACCCTCTGTAACTTCATCTTACAAGTGTAAACTGGTTGTGTAAGTCCTCCTCTATCACCAGCAAAAAGAAAGAGAGGTGGCACAATCTGCCTGTGGGAGGGAAACTCCATCCATGGTATAAAGACCCTAACATGCACTCAGTTAACATTGGGGACGATGAAGCAGACACATCTGTCTTGAGCACTTCAGCGGCAGCACTTTGCGTCTTCAGGACCTGTAACACCTAATATCAGATCACATTCCCTCAGAGATCTTCCTGGGGCAACACGCTCTCTTTTGTAACCATATTCAATTCTAACCTGACTCCCAATTTATTTCTCAGCTCCAATGTCAGAACTAAAGACTGCTGTGTCACCACTTTTATTTCCTCCTTGGAAGATCGAGTGTCCTCCCCTATACTGACTGATTTATTCTTACAGTTATCAAAACAAAAAAACAATCTTCCTCCACCCTGTTCAGAGGGCACACAGAAGCACAAACATCGCCAAATGTAAATGATACTCATTTCAATCTGTACATTAACCAGCCTGCTTGACATCAACATCGAGACAGAATTAATGCTTGTGTTCACAACTCTCTGGTTTCATTATCTGCTACTCTATGAAGATGAGAGTCAAAAAGGACATCTCTGTGCTTCAAAATAATACTACGAAATCGGCAGTTTCTCCTGCCAACATTTTCACTGTGCAGAATTACACAAGAAGTCAGACTCCCACTAGCTGAATATTACTGATGTGAAAAAAATAACACCCCCGCCCCCAAGTCTCATTTGATTAAAAAAAAAAATAAATAAATTGAGCGCCAGAAGGAAAAGCACCTTTGCATACAAGACATGTGAAGAGATGGAAAGAAACAAAACTTTCCTGAAGAAAGTTTTCAAATATCCTCCTGCTTTTTGAGATTGGATTCCATAACAGCAGCATTTAAAAATTAAAATTTGAAAGTGACTGTTTGCCTTACAGCCATTCACTAGCTCCGTAAATGGAAGCGGAGGAAAAGCTGGATCTAAGGACACACTTTAAGACAGATTATTTCAAACAGCAAAATACCGTCTGGCATACTGGTGCTAGGGAAAACACCAATAACTCAAAGAAAAAATGCTTCCTGGACTGCTCCACTAAGTATAGCAGAGGATAAATGTGTTCGTCTAGTTGCTCTTTAGGATCCAACAAATACTAAGCCATCACTAAACAGCCTGTGGTTACACAGTTGTTAAACATCAGATGAACGTGCACAGAAGATGACTTCTGGCAGCACAATGGCACTAGTGGTGGCGTAACAACTACAATAAGAACAGAAAAGTGCAACAGTAGAGCTTATATGGATTTAGGTGGTTCTGGAATACATCTCAAGTGTCCAATTGCAACAAGCCCGTGCCTGAATGGTTAGGAATGCAGCAGGCAATACAGATTTCTTCAGTTCTCATGGAAGTCTCATCCTACCGCCAGAAGGATCAATCAACAAACACTGAAACACAAGTCAGTCAGTGTTTCGACATTAAAAGAAAAGGGTTGTTATTGACTAGAAAGACTATTGTGTTTTGACTAAGATCTTCCTGTAATGAGTCTTTCACTGTAGGAAGTGCACCAGTTCTGAATTCCCCTCCACGCCGTCCTCGCGAGTTAACAGCTTACGAGGGAGAGAAAGAATAAACACGTTAGAGTAAACACATCACATCACCTCCTTCCCAGCTCTCGAGTGTAAGGCTCCAACCTTTATGATTCCTCCTCAAGACCAAGTTATCTTTGCAGGTTAGCTTTCTGAGGTTCGCTGTCACATAAAATACACAGGACTTCTGGTAACGCAGTTTTGAAACAGGCAAGTGAGCTTGCACTGAACCAGTGCTTTGTACCGTCAAGCTCCAACATTTAAAAATCTGAGAGAAGCAGCTCTGAAGTCAGATTAACTGGATTGCATTTTGATGATAAAACTAATGTTATTTCTTTCCATAGGTTTCCATCAAGTCCTCCAATTACCGAGGGAGACCCTGTAAGATTAAGGGTTGAAGCGACACACACACACTTCTGACAGATGCAGCCGTGAATTCAGTCACCGACGCAGATTAACGTACATATCGCGTTATACATATAGCCCTGTTTAAGTAGTTCTTATCTTTTTTTTTTGGTGTAACTACCGGATGCCAACTATTGTAGTATTACCCTGTGGTTCCACAGAAGCAAGTAATAACTTGAAAAACATGTCTCACAGAACTATGACAAAGCATTTAAAGACAAGTATGCATGCATAAAGCTAGCAAGAAACTGAAACCGAACTCCAAATGTTCTTTATTGTACTGTAAAGGAATGTAAAAAAACCCAAGTAAGTCAAATGAAAGGCATTGTAAATTAGAAACAGAAGCATGGGTGGCAATATGCAATTAGTAAACTGTGATTTATTTTTTTTTAAGTTATCAAATTGCTTGTTGAGGTTGCTTAGACATTGCTTGCTTCCCAGCCTAGCAAAGAGATAAGTAAATCCAGACTGAGTCCGGGTGAAGTCTCCCCTCAGATTCCAGACATCAGTGAATAAGCAGGGGTGGGAATCATCAGGGAAATATAGCAAAAAAGCCTCAAAAGTATACTTAATCCAAATACTCATGCTCTATAAGGGAGAATATTATTAACAGCAGGAGACGGGCACACCCCGGCGCCCGACCGTCGGATGGCGGGGTACCCCCTCGCCACTCCCGCCCCGGCGCCTCATGGCGGCGCAGAGGCACCGCGAAAACCGAACCCTTCCTCCCCCGGCCCTCGGAGGCGGCAGAGGAGCAGACCGCCTGCGGCAAAGCAAAAGG